CGTTCTCTACGTAGTAGTAAGCAAGACGTTCTTTCTGATACACAAGCTGTATGCGCCCAAATTGCCAATGATCTCATGCAATTCGCTAATGGACGAGTTTTCATCGACTACCTCTATCCTGATGACGCTTCAAAGAAGATGATAAGGAGGTTAGGATCCTCTCAAGAGGTCACCAGAGCGGGTGGTACGACATTTTTACATTTTTAGTACCGCTGGTGGATTGATCTCGAATGTCATTCACTCATTCCAAGGAATGGTAGATCAATTGGATTGGATGACTGTTGATACAAAGAGAAAAGCCTATAACAAGACTATGGAAATAAGTCTGAAGAACCGCATATTTTTTAATCCAAAAAACACAAATCATAATTCAGTCGAAAACATCGCCTTCCCTGACTGGATCATGGACAACAAGCAGCTTGACGCATATTATCAGGATCTCAAATTTGAAAATACTGACAACTATTTTGATATGTATTCTAAGCTAATAATGTGAGAGAATTTATTTATATATTTACTTATTTACTTATTAGTTTATTCATCGCTCATCGGCGTCTTAAATGAGCAACAGAAACAGCATACGAGGTAGAGCAATAGAATGAAGTTGATAAAAATGGTAAACAGAAAACATTTGTCATTGAGGCTATTCTTCGAATTCTTAAAATCTGAAATTTCATTTCATCTTTGCAAAAAGGTCTATTCTTACAGATTTAACATAAGGCTACAGTACAAGCAGCTAACGTTACCCCAGACCGATCGTTCTGACTTCCTGGGTCAACCTGGAACTGTTAACGCTTGGTATCAGGTAGATAAAGGTCATGCCTTACCCTAGCTCTCCAAAAAGTCTGCGATTTCAGCCTGAACTGAACTCGATAACATTCCCAGCTGGTATTCTTCAACCACCATACTTCCATCCTTTATGGCCAGCGTCCATCAATTATGGTGGTATGGGTATCGTCGCAGGTATGTTTATTGCTTCAAAAATACATTTCCGAAAATTTCTGTCCTGTGGGACCATCCAGCAAATCAATTTCAGGACATGAACTGACCCACGGCTTTGATGATGAAGGCGTACAATGGGGCCCATCCGGTGCTTTATCCTTCCCTTCCTCATCGTGCTCTAACTGTACCG